TGCACCAGGCGAGTTATTTGCTTTATTATGAGAACTGTGTTTTTTCCTGGATATTTCCCGGCATTTGTAATTTAGTTTTGGGTTTTAGTATGTTTCTTGTCTGCTTGTAGAACTTTTACTTCAAAGGTTTTTGAGTTTGCACAACAAAAAGTTTGCGATGTTAAAGAGAAAAAAAAAAGTCAAAACTGAGCATATATGTCTGACGTTCTGGAAGTATTTAATACATTTGTGTTGGTCTTTAGGAAAAGATGAAAACTTCTTGTCATAGCAGATGTCTTCTGTGCCCATTGTTCACTTTTCTTCCAGCACACCATTTGCTATGTACCTAAATTAGTTCCAGCTTCTACTGATCAGTTTGTGGGAGTTTTCCGTTCTAAAAATCAAAATTATTCAAGGACAGGGATATGAGGCATCACCTGTGAAATTCTACTGTAATTACAAATTCTATCACAAATGGGAAAAAAAAGCTATTTATAGTTCTTATAGATATTGCAGATCTTACCATCAGCCTGTACAAAATTATTTTCTCTTTAAATCTGTTAAACTGCAGATGGCTGGTCTGAAAAAAAGAAAATGTGTTATTGCAGGCAAACCATGCCACAAAAATAGCAAGTGCTCAGCTCTAATCTCATTTAATGTGAATTCATCCATTGTGGTTTATAAAAAAAAACCCCCCCACCTAACAATTGACTAATTTAAATATATTTCTACAGTGAGTGTGCTATAACTTATGTAAGTGCAAATATCATACGTTTGTTTCACACTTTTTGGATGCATCTCAGTAAAATTAGTGGAGTTGGGCATATTTGGCTGATGGAGTGGATTGGGATGGGTCTTGAAGTTATCAATATTTAATAGTTAACTATGGTGGCTATTTAATATTTAACAATGTGGGAAATTGTTTTTTAGATTTTTCAGAGTTTAAAAATAATTCTAAAACCTTTTTTTCTGAACTATCGAACGCTTATTTTAATTTTGTTTTAATTTTATATTGTTTTGCCTTGAGCCTAAAGCTCAGAAAGTGCCTTCTAATCTCTGATCAGAGGTCTTATTACAGCAGCAGAGCTAGGAATAGTCGTCAAGGCATCATTTTACTTCAGATGCTCTGTAGGCACACCAGGCTACGTGCTGTCACTCATAATGCCCTGGGTGGAGCTGGACATGTCCTGTACTGGCTACCATTGAGAAGGAGGGCTCAACACTGAAAGCTTTCAACTCTGTGCACATATGCATACTGCTCTGTAATCCTAATGGGTAGGTGGCTTGGCAGGGGTGCAATGCTGTAGTGAATTGTGGTGTCAGAAGACGTTCTAGTCACTGACAATTACCAGGTTTTTATTAGATAAAGTGGTAGTTAATTCATTATACTCAAATTCTGCTGGCTGGTTTTTTTTTTTTTTTTTTTTGTGTGTATATATATATATGTTGTGTATATATATATATATACAGTCAGGTCCATAAATATTGGGACATGGACACAATTCTAACATTTATGGCTCTATACACCACCACAATGGATTTGAAATGAAACGAACAAGATGTGCTTTAACTGCAGACTGTCAGCTTTAATTTGAGGGTATTTACATCCAAATCAGGTGAACAGTGTAGGAATTACAACAGTTTGCATATGTGCCTCCCACTTGTTAAGGGCCCAAAAGTAATGGGACAGAATAATAATCATAAATCAAAGTTTCACTTTTTAATACTTGGTTGCAAATCCTTTTCAGTCAATTACAGCCTGAAGTCTGGAACGCATAGACATCACCAGACGCTGGGTTTCATCCCTGGTGATGCTCTGCCAGGCCTCTACTGCAACTGTCTTCAGTTCCTGCTTGTTCTTGGGGCATTTTCCCTTCAGTTTTGTCTTCGGCAAGTGAAATGCATGCTCAATCGGATTCAGGTCAGGTGATTGACTTGGCCATTGCATAACATTCCACTTCTTTCCCTTAAAAAACTCTTTGGTTGCTTTTGCAGTCTGCTTTGGGTCATTGTCCATCTGCACTGTGAAGCGGCGTCCAATGAGTTCTGACGCATTTGGCTGAATATGAGCAGATAATATTGCCCTAAACACTTCAGAATTCATCCTGCTGGTTTTGTCAGCAGTCACATCATCAATAAATACAAGAGAAGCAGTTCCATTGGCAGCCATACATGCCCACGCGCCATGACACTACCACCACCATGCTTCACTGATGAGGTGGTATGCTTAGGATCATGAGCAGTTCCTTTCCTTCTTCATACTCTCTCTTCCCATCACTCTGGTACAAGTTGATTTTGGTCTTATCTGTCCATAGGATGTTGTTCCAAAACTGTGAAGGCTTTTTTAGATGTCGTTTGGCAAACTCTAATCTGGCCTTCCTGTTTTTGAGGCTCACCAATGGTTTACATCTTGTGGTGAACCCTCTGTATTCACTCTGGTGAAGTCTTCTCTTGTTTGTTGACTTTGACCCGCATACACCTACCTCCTGGAGAGTGTTCTTGATCTGGCCAACTGTTGTGAAGGGTGTTTTCTTCACCAGGGAAAGAATTCTTCGGTCATCCACCACAGTTGTTTTCCGTGGTCTTCCGGGTCTTTTGGTGTTGCTGAGCTCACCGGTGCGTTCCTTCTTTTTAAGAATGTTCCAAACAGTTGTTTTGGCCACGCCTAATGTTTTTGCTACCTCTCTGATGGGTTTGTTTTTTGTTTTTTCAGCCTAATGATGGCTTGCTTCACTGATAGTGACAGCTCTTTGGATCTCATCTGGAGAGCTGAAAGCAACAGATTCCAAATGCAAATAGCACACTTGAAATGAACTCTGGACCTTTTATCTGCTCATTGTAATCGGGATAATGAGGGAATAACACACACCTGGCCATGGAACAGCTGAGAAGCCAATTGTCCCATTACTTTTGGTCCCTTAACAAGTGGGAGGCACATATGCAAACTGTTGTAATTCCTACAACGTTCACCTGATTTGGATGTAAATACCCTCAAATTAAAGCTGACAGTCTGCAGTTAAAGCACATCTTGTTCATTTCATTTCAAATCCATTGTGGTGGTGTATAGGGCCAAAAATGTTAGAATTGTGTTGATGTCCCAATATTTATGGACCTGACTGTATATCATACACACACACAGAATAGACTCTAGTGGTCTCTTCTGTCATTATTATACCCCTTGCCTGTCAGCGGTTAATGTGATCTGAGCCATGGCAATGTGACTCACGTGCTCATGACATCACCGCAGCCCGGCCACTCAAGCGGTCAAAGATACAAAATCAGGAAAGGAACACTGGGCGAAGATGAAAGTGCCAGGGGAGCCGTGACAGCCATCAGTTTGTAAGTATGTCGTAATGTACTAGTGTGCGGTGCATACTAGTACATTATGACTTAAACCTGCCGGGGGAATAGGCGTTTTAATTAAGGGGTATGACTACCACTTTAGCTGCTTGCTGCCCACCCACAGAAGTTGCACTGCAAGCGGGTGGCAGCTGAAGGCCAGGCAGCATACTTTGTACATCGCTACCTTTCTTCCAGATTGTCAGCCCGAGCTGATTGGACACAGCACATATTTGACAATGGATTTCAGCCAATGATTTTGGCTGAAGTCAGTCACACAGGGAGAAACACAGTTGAGTAAAAGCAGCACATATTACACACAGTACACATTGTTAGGCACACAGTTAACCCTTTGATTGCCCCTAGATGTTTACGCTTTCCCAGCCAGTGTCATTAGTACAGTGACCGTGTACAGTATTGGTACTGATCACTGTATTAGTGTCACTATTGATGTCAGTCAGTGTACCTCCCAGCTAGCTAGTCACACTATCACAGTCCCAATATAAGTCGTTGACCACCACTATTTCTAGTTAGTGCCATAGCTCCGTATGTTCCAGTGTATATACCATAGGTTGTAGTCTCTATAACTATTACACAAACCAATTAATATACACCGATTGGGATTTTTTTCTACCAAAGACATGTAGGAAAATACATTTTGGCTTAAATTTATGAAGAAATTGATTTTTTTTTCTTTTATTGAGTGTGTATAACAAAGTAGAAAATATTGTTGGGCTTTTTTTTTTCAACATTTTTGGTCATTTTTCCTATACATTACAAAAAATAAACCCAGTGGTGGTCAAGTACCACCAAAAGAAAGCTCTATTTATGTGGAAAAAAATATATAATTTTCATTTTGGTACAGTGTTGCATGACCAAGCAATTGCCAGTTAAAGTAGCAAAGTGCTGAATGGCAAAAAAATGCCCTGGTCATTAAGGGAGTTAAAACATTAAAGTAAGCTCACAGTCTAATTTTAGTTTAATATATATTTTTAATTGTTGGTTTGGTACATTTTTTTGATTTTGGTTCACTCTACATTTTACATGTGGTTCTATTTTAAAGTAATGAGGGTAGATGTATTTTTGAGTAAGCAGTTAGTGTTTGATTTGTGCATTTCGCTAGTGTTCATGCAGTGTTGAATGCCAGTTACTTTGTGTAAGTGAAATACATGTACAACATGTAGTAACATTGTATACATGTAATAGAATTGTAAAGTGGTTCACTCTATCTCCTGATATACCTGTTTACAGTTAAACTGGCTACTGTCATTTGTACAGAGTTTGTTAGGAATGATAGGATAAGCTCATATTAATACTTCTCCAAAAATAGTGTGGCATTGCGGACCACACACAATTACTAACTGGGTGTAATAATGCATGCTTTCATAGGTATTTATTTTACTAGCAAGCTTAAGGAATGACACAAATAAAAACCTGTGTTTGATAGATATATATATATCGGTAGTTTATAAAGCAATTTTGTTTCACTGACTTGAGAGAACCACTGTGCTATGTCTGCTGAAGCGTACTGCTAACCTTTCTGTATTCTCTCTTTTATGCTTTTATTTTTTTTTTCCTTTTAAATCCTACTACTTTTACTTTTTGCCCATAATTTCATTTATTTTGTTGGAATGCCTTTTTGTTTTTATATTTGTATTCCTCCATACCCTTCCGTTCTGCAGTGTGACCAAGACCAGTGCATTCAGAGCACCAAATTCGTTTTGCAGGCTGCAGCCACGCCGCTCCTTCAGGCCGAACCTACAATACCTGCTGATGAACCACCTTTGCCAGGAAAAACAACCATAACGGCACCATGCACCACTTTGGCACTTGGCCAGCCAACTCCGCCATCTTCAATCCCAAACCTAAACTCAGAAACGGTCTTGACAGATATGATACCCTTAAAAGAGGACATTGGAAATCATCAGTTCTTAACGCCAGATGAAGCACCTTCACCACCTGGAATGCTGCCAGCAAACAGCCCTGTGACTCATAGCCATACCATGCATGTCCTCAACCTTGTCAGCCAAGACTCTTTGCATGAAGACTCTGTGCGTGGTCTTGTAAAACTCAGCTCTGTTTGACCAACTGTGATAATGCTCAAGTTTAATTGCACATCTGTTAAACTCTGTGATAAGCTTGCACTGTGTCATGATTACAAAAGCCCCTTGTACAGTAATAATAATTTCAGTTTGGCAAAATTAAAAGCGCGAGGCCATGGACTCTTGATCACCAATTTTAATAAGCTGGCTTGTTTTCTTATGTATATCGTTTTTATTGCAACTGACTGCCTCATACAAGGAACGATGTATTTCAGTAAGTCTTCAACGCTGAATTTGGGTCATGGCTTATATGACCTGTGAACGAACTGGAAATGTGAAAAAACATGGCAGAATATACCTTTATTTTGGATATAGTGTTCAGATCAGCCTCTTTTGAGCTGTGCACCCCTAAGAGTTTAAACTTGCCTGGCCAAAGCAGTTATGGAATGAAAGTCTGGACTTTGGTTTCATTTGGCCACCAAGCCCTGGATTTTTGTGGTGCAACTTGCTAACCCTGAAATTTGGGAACCTACACTGTGTTCTGTAAAGCAAAATATACACTTTGAGATAGCCAAATTGTGCTCCTCCTTCCAGGATGTTGTGCTACAGTTTTATGTTGGTATATGGAAATATATGCTGCTTACCTAAATAATATTTGGGGATAATGGTGGTTTGGTTAAACAGTGGATGTCAGGAAAATTCATGTTTTTTTTTTTTTTTTCTTTTTTTTCACATTTCGGCATTTTTTTTCCTGATTTGGTCAAGTTTGCCCAAATTCTAAAGGGCTGATGTTGCTGAATGACAATGCTTTGCATTTAACTACTTGTACAAATGTTTCGATATGGTATAGTTTAATGCCATGACACTTTTCTTTCCAAATGTGCAAAGACATCAAATAAAGTTACTTTTTCTTATCAGGTGTGTGTTGTCTTCCATTCAAGAGAATTTTCTGTAAAATATACGGTATTTCACTACTTTCTTTCTTTTTTTTAATTATATATTTTTAGATTCAGCATACTTAAAAATACATATTTTTTGTGTTTATATAACTTTCAAGGTTTAATTTGCACAGGAGTAAAATTTTGTTAGAACTTGTTGCATAACCTCTTACCACCCACAATCTGTGTATTACCATTCCCTGACACCATATAGAGGACATATTTATTAATGTTTTCCTTTATAACCAGCAGCGAAACACATTAGGGTTGATTTACTAAAATTGGAGTTCAAAATCTGGTGCAGCTTTGCATAGAAACCAACCCGCTTCCAGATTTTTTTTTTTTTTTTTTGTGAAAACTTAATTGAGCAAGCTAAAGTAAGAAGCTGATAGGCTACCAATTTGCACACTCTCGTTTTGGTAAATCAACCCAAGTGTTTTCTCAATTCTAGCTGATGACAACCAGGTTCCCCAACAATAGGGGTCCAAGTAAAGTGTTTAATGGACATGTAATCATTATGTTAGAATGGTTTTCAAGCACGTGATCACTCTGATCTGATGTAGTGATCACATGCAGGCTATAGGCTCTATTGACAAAAATGAAAGCCTTCACACTCCATATTGTAATGTGCTTCTGTTGTGCTCTATATTTAGTATTAAAAATTTTTAAAGTAGAACTTTACCCATAACAACTTGATAAAAAAAATGTTCTTTAGCAAGGAACATACACTCACCGGCCACTTCATTAGGTACACCTTGCTAGTGCCAACAAAATATCCCCCAGACCATTACACCACCAGCCTGAACCGTTTAATACAAGGCAGGATGGATCCATGCTTTCATGTAGTTTACGCCAAATTCTGACCCTACCATCTAAATGTTGCAGCAACCAGTCTTCCCATTCTCCTCTGACATCAACAAGGCATTTTTGTCCACACAACTGCCTATCACTGGATATTTTCTCTTTTTCGGACCTTTGTCTGTAAACGCTAGAGATGGTTGTGCATTAAAATCCCAGTAGATAAGCAGTTTTTTGAAATTACTCAGACCAGCCTGTCTGGGATCAACAACAATGCCATGTTAAATGTCACTTAAATACCCTTTCTTCCCCTTTCTGATGCTGAGTTAGAACTTGAGTAAGTCATCTTCACCATGTCTAGATGCCTAAATGCATTGAGTTGCTGTCATGTGATTGGCCTATAAGCAATTTGTGTTACCGAGCAATTGAACAGGTGTACCTATAAAGTGGTTGGTGAGTGTACCTTTCCACATTAATAATTCTGTTGCCACAATTAGCATGTGCTGTAAATTGCTGCTGTTTCTTCTTGCTGGAGGCTGCTGTTTTTGCTGAAGCTCAGACCCCATGAGTAGCAGTAAATCTTTTGCAATTGAGTATGTACAGAGCAGGGTGATAGTATATTACTGGATTTTAAACAGTATAGGCACTTCTTTTTAATGTTTTGCATAGCTATACCTTCAATGGGGCCATTCTGAAGTGATCTAGTAGAACCTAATTTTCTGAATAAAGTTCCACTTTATTACATAGAAAAAATAGTTTTATTAAGAGTAACATAAAAAAATGTCCTTATAACAAATGGGCAATCTGACACATGGTGAATCTGTAAAATGTTTCTTTTAGTTTTGGATAGCATTGGGAGGAAAGGTGCCTTTATTATGTTCCTGCTGGGAGGTTTTGTTCAGCTTGCTGTGGAGACCTTTGCCAGTAAAGGGAAAATCCCAAATTCTTATGGTTATCGGAGGTGAGACCAAACCTTCTGGTGGGGACACGTGTTCTGTGATTCCAGTTTCCTTTACACTGCGATTTATTAAGAGCGGATTTTCCCCTCACTTACTTTTTGTGTTTTTGAGACCAGAATTGAAATTAAAATCCCCCCAACAGGACAAAATAAACTTTCAGCTTTGAATAGCAAATGCTTAAAAGCTCTAACAATTTTATTTGTACTTGGGTCACCTGTTTATCCCAACATGGCCTCAAAAAAGTTGTAAAAATGTGTGTGTATACATATAGACACAGTTTAAAAAATGATGTCCGTTAATTGGCCATCAGCGGAATTTCGATCAGTGTGTGTGATGCTGTCCCTATTCAACAGAAGTCATTTTGAACAAGTTGGAAAACGTTTGTCGATCAGCTGTTAATCGCTGTATTCTGTCAGTGCTGAGGTTAGAAGCTGATTGGTTTCTATGCAGAAGCAAGCCTGATTTTGGCGCACTCCAATTTTAGTAAAAAAAAAAAAATAAATGTATAAACATTTTTTATTTTTTTGAATGCCAGCCCCAGAGCCCCCCCATTTGGTCTAGGTTTTCTATGTAATATAGTGTGTGTTGGTTAAAAAAAAAATTCTATTTAGATGATCTCATCCTTTTTAGGGGCCGCGTGCACAGATGCACACTGTTAAAGGGCTAAAGAAACTTTGATTTTCCCTACATGAACATTGGTACGGCTATATATGTACAAATGGGTTAACCTAAATTTTTAAAAAAAAAAAAACTGCTGCTCAGATCTTCCCAGTTTCTAAATTTGCAAATTAATTTCCCTGGCATACTCACCGGGAATATTTAGTAGGATATAGAGAAAGGACATTGTCAATTTCTGCAGTTCTATGTTGTGTGGGGGTTTTTTTTTTCTGTTTCTTTTTTTTTTTTTTTATCTCTTTATCCGATTCAGGTCAATTTCTTGCTGTGCAGTGCACAATTTAGAGCTTAAATGGGGATTCATATCACCATGGAACAAGCAGAAGCCTGGTTTCATCTGGTTCTGTATAGCACAAACCTACCTGCAGTGATTTGACAGGGGGAAAATGCCTAAAACGGAATCTGCTTGGACTACTAGAATACCTAATGAGCCTTCTAGGGCAGAGTTTCAAATAAAAACATAGGCCTCTGCTGGGATTGTCCATGACCAAAATTTTATTTTTGTTGCTTTTACACCAAAACGTTCCTGTATAAAGGAGGCATTTGTGAACGTATACAATCTGAAATGCACAGAGAAATAAAATCAAACTCGAACTTACTTTTATCTGATGTCAAATGCCTAAGTGCACTTCTCCTTGGAAATAGAATCTGTTGTGTTCATATAAGAACACTACATTTATGCTAATGGAACAGCTTTGAATACTTTCAAACAGCAGAATCAGGGATGGTCAAATCCATTCAGCTATATCTAGGCTTGCAGAGTATTGGCGTGACCAGATGTTCACAGTGGGTCTTCAGTTCTTCTGCACTAGACCTCAATGCATCCCTTTCCAGTTATCAGATCTGGTCTGCTCACCACTTCCGGTCAGGAGTGTAAATGAGAGCTAGTCAGAATCATGCTTTTATGTGCAAAAGATCAGAGGAGATTCTTCCATGAAAAAAAATGGATGTGAACAGAGGAGCACCTGGTACAGAAGTTGATCCCTCTTAAAAGACTTTTCTGAAATATTTAATAGTGTATAAAATACATGCAACTCATATTGGGGGGGGGGGGGGGGGAAGGCCTCCCCCTTTATTAGGGCTTGAGCAGTTTATGGTAGTAAAATCACGCCAGAATGCTCATAAGATTGGATTGACATCTTAGGAGTCCAGAATAATTTTAGTACATTCAAATTAAACAAGGGAACACCCCTAAAAGAGAGAAAACGTTCCATAGGACACAGACTCTTACATGAAAGTGTTACTAAACCCACAACAGTAAAATCAGTCTGTATATGCAGGAAAGCATGCTTATTATACTCACTGTGGAACCTAAGGGGTTAATCCTCCTCGTGTAAAAAGGCTGTTTGATCCTGTCTTCTCTGATCCTCCCCTTCTACTGTCTCCAATCCATCTGCTGATAGTACAGAGCTCTAGGAGTCACTCTGTGCATGCTCAGTTTAGTGTGTATTGCTATAGATTTCGGAGGGTACATGTGATCAGCACAGGGTGAATCAGAATCGTCTGGACAGAGGGTCAGGGGTTATGCAGTCGCATAGGATAGTCAGAGGAGAATGAACTCCTCGTACAAGCTTCTACCAGTGCTCGGCTGGACACTGATAGAAGTCACAAGACTGCTCTAACTGCTGATGAGAAAAGATATTTAGCAATTCCATGTTCTGTGTACTGTGGG